GTAATTTAGAGAACATTTAAAAATAATTTAATAATCTTACAAGTTGTTAAGAAGTTAAAGTTGAATTATACAGAACTTTTGTGCTCACTTTTGCATGAAAATATTTTCTCAGAAGTTTTCAGATGATTATCCCCCTTTCGAAAACAGGTTGCCCATCTCTTCATTCTTTCCTCCCTGGTAATCTTATAAATGAGAAAGATGTCTGTCCCATGTGGACATTAAGGGTTAATTTGATGGTAATTGTGGATTGATATGCTTGATTTAGATGTGGGTTTCATTGGCTGCCTTGTTTAAACCAAGTATTCTGCCAGTGAAGGTAAAGTAAGGCCTACTTCTACTTGTATTTATTGGGTGGTCATTGTGTTAGTAAAGTCTATCAATATTTCTTCCATATTAGAACCACCACAGCGAGAGTTTAGAGAAGGTCCGGTACGATACAATGTGGGACGGGGAGGTCCTCGTCCAGTCTATGATCGCGAACGCTCAGACAGAGGTGGATTGAGGCGAAGAGATGGTCCAGACAGAGTGCCTCGGTTCCGCGAATACCTTCGCCCACGTTCACCTAAGTAACGCCAAAATCATGTTATATTGATCTTTAAATAACATGTCCAGTGCCCAACCAAGGTTGGTGCATATGACGGTGGTGAGTGTACTGCACTTGGTGTTGACTTTCACAGCAGTCGATTTTGTTGGAGGTCTCGCAGATGCATCCACCACAGAGTTCGCCCAACCATTATTGTTTCTCAGCAATTTCTGGAACATGACTTTGGCAGGATATTGACATTTTCTTCAGATCAACGAAATGGATATACAACAATTTGAGGCTGACCCGATTAAGTAAGGAAGCGCAATCAGATCTTGTTGTTGTGATAGTGAAAGTTGTCAAGCCATCAGTTTTAAAATATTCTTCAGAGATAATTGACAGGGAAGGAAGTATCCAGTGTCCTGAATTTGTTTTCATTTTCTGTCGCTTCTGAATTGGAAAGTGAAGAAAGCCGCAGTTCTGTAGTGAGTAGGTGTTTAGACGGCAGATAACGCTGCACAGTAGGTATAACCTAGTGAGACACTGACTCCCAATAAAGCCCAAAGCTGGCACCAAGTGCCTGAAAACTGATCAACAGTGCTATTTTATGTTGCAGCTGTGAACACTAAAGAATACAAGACAGACTTTTATATAACATACACGCATACCTAGAATACATATTATCTAAACTTACATCTATACGGTAAAGCAGATGTGATGATGATTGAAGATTGTTGCCTGAATTATGTATCACATGTAATTGAATGGCAAATCAGGATTTTTTTATTTTATCTATATAATCATGGCCATGCATGAGGTAGGCACTAATGGTTTATTGCTAGTTTGCATTGCTAACCATGTATCTTTTGATTGCAGTTGGAGTTTTCAGTTTATGAATAATTTTACAGCAGAAATGTTTAATATAAAAATGTGATACAGTTTATGGAGGTATTGCCCTCCATGAGGGGTTGCATTTGAAAGCTACTTGGGGTACGGGAGGGGTTTGGAGGAAGGGTGGAGGAAATCGTACACATCTGTAAAAATTGTTTGTGTGTATGTATGTGTGTGTGTGTGTGTGTACACATATGTATGTGTATATATGCATGTGTATACTTGTGCAGTAACTGTGATAGCCCTTATTCTGAATTTAAAAAATACTGTCTGTATTATATCAGGGATAGTGTGCATATGTGAATTTCTTAACTCTTACTACCATAATGATGTATAGGCTTGTTGGAAGGTTTTCAAGATTATTAGCCTATGTATTCCTTTTGACCCTTTCTATACTGTTGCCAAGTAATAGTATCTAAATAATACGGTAATATCAATATTTTAAACTAATCTTTGACATGAACCCTTATCATAGCTCCCTCTCTTAATTATTTCTCTTTGTAATGTTTCTTTCTGGTGTAATTTCCTAGTTGCAGAGCCACACTGCTTGAGAACCTGTTGTTATTACCCGGTACGAATGTCCTAAAAGATGTCACTTGGGTAGAGATGATTTGGTTCTCCTTCGTTGTCAGCCTGCATTGCTAATGATGCTCCTCCATTTTGAAAGACTGATATGGGAACACGAAGCCAGGAACGTTGCAAACCTTTCCATGTATAAGGAGCAGGAACAGGAGCTTCAAAGAGAATATAAAGTTGTCTGGTGCTTGAAGAGAGTTTCGGACATTTGGGGGGGGGGGGGCC